GCTGAACCAGAACCGTATTTTTTTTCTGTGCACGACATCTACACTACATGACTACATTACTTTCACAGGCTCATCTGACTGTAATTACATGTACAACTTTGAATCCTGCTACACTTTTGCCTACATGACAAGATGGTGAACCACAGATTAGTTCACGGTGAAATATTAGTTCACAGAGAATGATTAGTCCACGGAGAAAGATTAGTTCACTGTGAAAGGTTAGTTTGCAGAGTAATTCGTTCATAGTGAAAGATTAGTTCGCAGAGAGTGAATTGTTCGCACTGAGTGTTTAGTTAGCAGTGAGTGATTTGTGAGTGATTCGTGAGTTCAATATGAACAAATATTTCATATGACTCGGGAGTTACGAGTCATATGAAAGATTCGTTCAGTTTGAACGAATCACTCGCGAACGACACATCACTGCACATCACTAAACAGTGGTGCACGGAACAGCCGAACACTGCACAACACAACACCCACAACGTTACTTTTTGTAAACGCCTATTTATTAATACCACTTTAAATAAAATAGAGTAGTTTGTACGACTCTAAAACGAGTCGTGGTAACTAGTTCACATTTGTAATTTACTGTTTACGAACCACACATTTTTCAAATGGGGGTAAGCTATACTATGTTAGCAAATCCATGCTAACTATTGTAATATTATTGCGCAGAAAACATGGTTACGAACCATTCCGGGAAATAATCGATACAGCCTCTTCTTCCATTTCAAACTCTTCATAATGTCTTGTAAAAACTAAAGACAATTTTAAGAAACTTTGTTAAATCGATACGTTAAAAATCGGCCTTGACCACAGAACTCAGGTGTCCCTGTTTTAAATTACCGGAAGTGATCGCCTACTTCCCTGATTGGATGTTTGGGGATCACGGATGCTCATAGCTGTTTCTCTGATTGGAGCAGAGGATGTAAACGGAATAGACAGTTGTAGTAGTTCAGGTCTTTATTAATTTAATTATTATTTTACTTGTCACATATTAAACTCAAATACAAATAAGTTACAAGACTTCATTAGTTTTGCTGCACATTTGAAACAGTCATCAAGCAAATTCTTAAATAAATTTCATTGTTTTGAAATTATGCATAAATATATAAATAAACAGAATTGCTGTCACAACCATCATACAAATACAAAGGGTGCTTTCTAGACAGCACAACATTGCCACTTTGTGGCTGAATTTGACTATGTCAATACGTTTAGCAAATGTTTTACTTTCTGTACCCAGTACATACAGTAAATACTGTTCTGCTTAAGTAACATCTACTTGGTTGTTTTAAATAAAGACTGCCATTTTATCCACTAAAGTGGAAGTCTTTAGCTCTGACGTTGGTGGATGGTGAAGTTCTGGTAGCGCTGGCTGGTCTCTCTGCACAGGTCCACCTTCTTGTTGTCCTCCTTGGCTGTGCTGATGAACCAGTTGGGGTAGCGAGCAGACATCAGGGTGCTCAGGCTTACGCCAGTGTCCCGCTTGTAGAACAAAAATCTCAGGTCGTCACTTCCTGCACGGATGTTGGACAGACGGTTGGGGTCCTTCACTTCCTGGAATTCGAAAAGGATACAGGTCAGATTTGTACTGATGAGTGAAGGCACAGGAGTAGGCTACAAGTACTCAACTGCTTTGTAAAGTATTCTAAGTATGTATGGATAAAAGTCTTGAGCGAACAAGAAAATATTCCCTTGTTTATTGCATTGATGGCTAGTTTCCCACGTTCAATAATAAAACCAATTGTAAATAACTTGGAAACCTATTTAGAGGAAAAAGGACGGAAAATTTTACAAGAAAGTTTGAATGAATCTTTATGTTTTGAAGAAATATGTATAATTGAAATCTTTCTCTATTTGAAATGTTCCATGAAAAGTCAAGTCTGGCTTTACTTTATGGAGTAAAGAGTGATTTTTGATCACCCAGCGTATGTCAAAGATTTGGTGTATATTTTCATAGATTTTCACCTCGAGATGCAGAGTCGCCATTTCATTCTCCATGTGGCAGGACAGGTACAGATCTGTGTCTTTGATGCACAGGGCCACAGGTTTGGCCTCAGTGCTGGATGAAGGATTAAAGATGTACGTGGACATGTTGAGAAAAACTGAGGAGAGAGCAGATGATACAGGTTGGGTTACTGAGAACTGTGTCATGGATCTGTGGACTATTTAAATTTTGAATTTGAATTCCCAAACAACCTACCTTTGCGTTTATCACTGCCCGCCTGCAGCATCACTGCGTGGAGCTCCATGCTGTTCAGAACAAAGTTCCTCTTCTGGTTGTCAGCCACACTGCACTGGTGCATGCCAGTCCTGTAGAACTCATCCGGTGGAGCCGCAGTACATCCAATGACAAGTTGTTCTGTAGAAAAGAGAGAAGCGAAAGGTTTTAAAAGAAGGTTTTCTGTAACCTCCGTCCTTTGTCTATGACTAACTTCAGACCATTCTTTATCAAAGACACTATTTTCCTATTATACCAAGAATACAAATATAATCTTTTTTAAGTTTATTTTTCTTAGTTATTCACATATCATATTCCCCTTAGCTTTGGATTTTGGTAACATGTTGTATATGCACGACTTGTTTTTTAACAGTTACAAGCCTTCAGAGTATTTACCTTCAACGATGGTGTCCAACATGATGCTGAGCAGGTTTTCATCTCTGAATTCTGTGCTCATCACTGACTCCGACCTGCCGGCCTTCAGCCTTTCCAGAGCGATGACCAGGTTAACTACCTGCCGCATTGTCATCGGATGCTGGGAAATTTCCAACTGCAGTCCTTTCGGCATGGTGGGGAGCCACATCTCACTGATACTGCATTTCATCTCAGATTCCATTTTTTTATTTTTGATGGGTAAAGATCTAAATAGAAAGAATCAAACTTTTCAATCTCTGTGGAAACTATAAAAAATGAATTCGCGTTTAAACTATCATCACTGTCAGCAGCTGGAAGCTATAGCCGTCCATCAGACACCAAATACCTGTGGCTACGGCTCTAGAGCCTGACAAAGAACCAACCAATGGGAAAAGAGAATTCAAATTACCTGTTGAATCCTGAAGAGGAGTTGTTTTACTGAGCCTGCTTTATCTGGTCACAGTTGATCTGTCTGCCTGTGTCAGCGTGTGTTGGCTTTTATACACTTTGACCACAGTACAACAGTTGACGAAATTTTTTGTAGCCAGGAAATGGGGAGGTCTTATTACCCGCACTATGATGAAATTCTGTAAACACTCCACACACTTATTGCGACACAGCAATTACTTACAATTCGAAAATATTTTTCTTGACAATGTATTGATTTCTTACTAATATTATCAACACCTGCTTAAATCAATGGCATTTTAAAATGTATCTGCTGTGGTGGCTCATGGGTAGACGGGTAGACAGGTAAACCCAGACATTATCGGGTTTTCAGACGATAACAAATCCTAAAGATATTACATAATTATGCTAATATTGGACCAATAATATCAGACATCCGTAATAAAAACATTATCTTACTCTTTCCTAAAGTCTGTCGGAGTTTTGCTGATTTGTTGATGTGATGAAAGTCCCCAGCAGCTAAAATGGACCAAGTTGCTTAATTTGGCTGAATCTACTGTTTCTTCATTTCCTTGAAAGAAGTCAGCTGTTTATCAATATAATTAATTATTATTATTAAATTATTATTATTATTACTATTATTATTATTATTATTATTATTATTATTATTATTATTATTATTATTATTATTATTATTATTATTATTATTACATAGGACATTTGAGAAAAAATGAATTTCATATATAACAGCCATTCTGAGAAATATTTTCTTCCAGATGTAGAAAAAAGCAAACAAATGTACAATAATTATGTTTTGAAAAAGGTTTAAGGATTTTTATAAAATAATATTGTTGAGCCAGTGCCCTTGAGCTGGTTGAACATGAGAAAAGCACCACCTAGTACGAAGAAAATGGAACTACATGTTCTCTGTTTACAAAAAGAGACAAAAAAGGTTGCAATAGACCAGGGGTCTTCGATGTTTTTAATGTCATGTACTTGTACTATTTCTGCTCTGTACCACCTGAGAAAACCTTGATCTCTCTGAGTATCACCATGATGACCAACATTAGAATATAGCAGCATAGGCCTTCACTGTTAGCTTCCACCACAAAGGAGAGATGTTTAGAAATATTTAGAAAGATGTTTATGTTTAAATGTTGTATTAGTTGTACATGGTATGTTTCAGATTTATTCAATTGAAAATGTAAATGTGAAAATATAAATTTTCCCCACGTACCACTAGAGAGCCATAGTACCGCAGTTTGAGAACCACTGTACTATACTACGTATATTACATGTTACTGCGTTATGTATATACACATGGTCAACCATTAGCAGTATCAAATTGTCTGCAAGTTACACATAAGAAAAACGGTCAAAAATAGTTGCACGGCCTTTACCGACCTGTTGGAGTCATGGAGCCCCCCTGTTGTCAAAGTTTTTTATTTTTTATTTTTTTAAATAAATAATCTTCCTTTTTACAGTAAATCTTCAAAGCTTCAAAATAAATCCCACTTACGTTTGTTAATCCATGTCATTGCTTTTTATGCAAATACCTCGTAAATGATTAATACCTGTGTGAGGCAACAGTGTCTGGTAAAGGTTTTACAACAAGAATACTTAAGGTGGATGTGTGCGTGTGTGTCTGATCTTGACATCACTTTACCTGTGGGGGCCGGTGTTTAGAAAAAACACTAATGTTGTCGGGACACATCGTAGGGTACTTCAGGGGTTTAAGATTTAGTTTAGAGTTAGGATTATAATTAGGCTCGGATTAGAGTTTGGGTGAGGATTAAGATTTGATGAATACCTAAGGTTATGGTACAGTGCAATTTGTCAATGTAAAATGCTCATAAAAATGTTGTGTGTGTGCGTGTGTGTGTGTGTGTGTGAGAGAGAGAGAGATTGTAGGGTGTGCCAGATTCTTACTATTTTGGAATGACTCAGCTTTAACTATTGCAGACTCAAGTTTGAACCGCTTTAGTATCAGGGAGGAATTTCTGCAGTGTTTCAGTAGCAAATAAAAATACTTTCACATCCCATTCACTGGAGGCTCAGTGAAATAATGGAAGTTAGAAAATGCGTGAATCACACAACACGTGTGATGAAATTAAAAACACCATTACTTAACATATTTTCATATGTACTTTCACAACTTCAATGACCTAGAGTCGATTTAAAAAAAAACCCACAAAAAAGGAAATGTGTTTTTTGCCAATATTACACAAAATATATTTATTTGCAATAAATTTTACCCTTTTTCTCTCAAATCTTAGTTCTAAGTAGTATTAGCCACGTTTAATTATTAACAACAACAAAAAGAGACACATCATTTGTTTCGTTTTGAAAAATATAGTTGTGACATTGATCCACAAAAATGTTTTAAATTATTAGCCACAGATATAAACAGGCAGTAGAGACGCAATAGTTATTTTTCTTATTATTATTATATTATTTATGAATATATTAACCCTTTATGAACCCTTTAGAAGGCATCATATGGTGAGAAATATAGCAAAAAAACTTACGAACGAAACTTTACCCATGTGTACTGCATGAAAATATCATGAAAATAATGAAAATATTGGAATTTTTACATATCGCAAAGACCTGCGATAGAACAAAAAATCCTCAAAACAAGAATACATTTAAATAACCTGCGATGCACTGAGGCCGAGAACAGCAGAATCGAGATATAGCGAGGGACGACTATACAGAAAACTTTTTTTTTTATTTTGGTGCCATATTTAAGAATGTTATTTACTGCGATTAATTGTGATTAACTGCAATCACAACCGATCC